TTTTTTTTTTTTTTTTTTTGTAAAATGGAGATAGGTACCTGCCATAAAGGATGCACTAATGTTTCTTTTTCTTTACTCCAGTGTGTGAATGCTTTCCTCATTGCATTTTACATATTTTTTCATCCCTGAAGTGCTTGCATGTAGGCAGGCATTCAGTACATATCGGTCCCAGCTGTAAAAGTTTTCCAGATTTTGTTCTTTTAACAAGGAACAGACACAAATAAACTGTATTTTGAAAAAGAAAAATGGTTATAGGGTACATCTGAGTGAAAAATTAAAAATATGCAAAAACTACATTAAGGGGACAAACTTGCCAAGAACATAGAGAACAAGATCGAATGGTTTTAAAGCTCAGATATTTTTAAAAAATGACTTTTTCTATTTTTTTTTTAGTGAAACGTTTACTGGTACATTTTAGATATACATAATGATAACACTCATCATAGGGAATTTGCACCTGTACATCTGTAAATGTACCTGCCTCTTTGCAGGTACCAGGAATGTACACCTGCCTCTTCTTTTTTTCCCATTCCCCCCCTCCCCTCCCTATATGAAATGCTTTGTTTCCAAAAAAATGACTTTTTAAAAACAGAATTAACCTTCCTATTTACAAGTACTTCTGAAAAGTGCACAGGGCCATCTTTCTGCCAGTATTCATATTTAGCTAGAGTATATAGGACAGTCTTAGAAAATGACCTTTGTTATTAGTTGCATCTGATTTTATTAGTGGCAAATGAACATGGGCAATGAATTCATAAATATCACAACACCTTTCTATACATGTTGTAAAAACCAAGCGTTGGGTAGATTCGCAGAGATTTGCTAAGCACTTCTGTGAAAAGAACTCAGCTGCACCTACAAGAGCAACCACGTGGGATTTTACCCTTTAAATTGAGAGGTTTAGACCAAATCTTATGCTACGTGAAAGAAGCCAGTCACAAAGATTCTATTTATGGGAAATGTCTGGAACAAATAAATTCACAGAGGTAGCAAGTATCTTCATAGTTGTTGGGCTGGAAGGTGGGGGTGGGTGGAGAAGAGGGAGCGAACGGGTATGGGTTATCTTTTGGGGGTGATGCAAATGTTCTGAGATTAGAATGTGGTGAAGGCGATATACTTTGAGTATAGTGGTGATAGCTATATACTCTGAGTACAGTAAAGACCACTGAACTATCTACGTTAAAGGTATGAATTCTATGGTTGGAGAATTAAATCTCAATAAAGCTCTCACCAATAAACTTCCCAGGGAGTTTAACAAAAACTCCAGAACTACACCTCCCGAACAAAAAAACCGGGATCAGACCACTTCTAAGCAGAGAAAACTTTGCGGTAGGTTGGAAGCCAGGCAGCCCATGTGGGGGCAAAGTCCTCAGAGAACGAGCTCCCGGTCCTCCTGGGGGGTCCCAACTCTACGGGTCCCTGGATGCGTCCCCGGTCCGGGCTTGGCTGCCTCGCGCGCTCCAGGGGTCGAAACGGAGGACCCAGAGGACAAGCCTGGTCTGACCTGGCGCGGCCCAGCACCGACTGCGCACGCCTAGGGTCCGTCTGTGCTCCCACAAACCACATTACCTGTAGGGCCCAATGGCCTTCGGGGCTTTCGCCGTGCTGATCACCTTTTTGATCAGGGACGTCATAGCTAATGTTCTCACACGCTGTCACTCAGCGAGAAGTCCAAGCTCTAGTCCAGACCGCTTCTCCTTTCCCTGAACTGAACAAACTGCCCCGAGTAGCTCCACCCGCCACTAGGCATTCTGGGAATTGTAGTCTGCGATCGGCTCCAGGCCACGTGGAGACGGCGGCCGGGGTTACGCATGCGTTATCCTGCTAGTTTGCCGCGCCGGTCGCCTCGGAGGGACTGTCACGGTCTTGTCATTCTGACCCGGGGAGCCCTGAGAACGTTTGGCAGGTAGGTCGTGAGGCGTCGGTGCCCTCCAGGGTCCGCGAGTTCGAGTCCACGACCCTGTGCGTGGCGGCCTGCGCGTGGACTCTCAGACTGCTGACCTTTGGTTCTTGCTACCTGCGCCCCGGGCCCCTCTTCCCGGTCCGGAGCCTTCTTCAGTCTCGCGCAGTTGAGTCCCTAGGTCTGGCCTTTCCTCTCGTTGCTCCGCCGGGCGGAAGCTGTCCTGGGAAGACGATTGCGCTCTTCTTCCACCCTAAGGGAACACGATGGAGCCTTCACGGGACCACGCCGAATCTGGGGCGTTGGCCACCTTCCGGCTCCCGCGTCCTGGCCTCTAGACCCGCTTCTCTGGCTTTTCAAGGTCTCCTGGGATACGGCCAGAGCCTTAGGACGGAGATCTGATTTCAAAAGAAAAGAGTATGTTCTTGATCCAGATAATAGTCCCAGAGTTGGTCTCTGGGCAGGTCGTGCTGTGTCAGAACGTGTTGTACAGGGCTGAATATTTCTTATCCTGTTAATAATGTTTGCGTTTTAGGCCTGCACCACCTTTTCATTCATGCGTTCAGGCTTGCAGTCAGCAAATACTGAGCCCTTGCACTGTGCATGGCGGTGTGCTGCGTACTGGCGATACAATAGCGAAAAAAATCTTTGTCCTCCCTGCTTCCAAAACTTACTATGAGAATCCCTTTGGTTGTCTCTCATTTTGTTCTATGAAATGCTTTTTTTTTTGCTTCAGGCTGAAGAAGTTTTAGAATTTTGATCTTTTTCGGGTTTAGGGCTCTCACCTGGAACAAAAGTCCTTTCAGTCTGGCCTCCACTATCTTATTTAGTTATATCCTCTTTCTTCTCTCTTCAGTCATCCAGAGTCCTCACTCCTGTTCATACTGTAGGTTCCAGAATAACTTGCGTCCTTTTCTACCCAAAATCCAGCCAATTGAAATCCTATTTTCATCCTGACTTTTCCTGCTGATTCATTTTTTTCTCTTACTGAGTTTCCTAGTTTGCTATACTCCAAAATAATGGTATTTTTTTGTTTTGTTTTTTGTACCGGGGATCGAGCTCAGGACCTAGTGCTGCCAGGCAGGTGACGGCACCACTGAACTAAATCCCCAGTCCTATAGAATTTTTGTATATGATTTTATTCTCTATTTCTAGCAGGGAGGAGGCTGAAGCAGGAGGATTTTAGTGAGTTTGAGGCCAGCCTGAACTACATAGCAAGACCTTGTCTAAAAAAGCAAAACAAAAGTGAATATAGGCAGATTGCCTGATTTGAATCCCAAAACGATCACAGAAAGGTTAGTGGCTTTGGATAGGTTATATAACTGCTGTACACTTCAGTTTCATTTATAAAATGGGGGTAGATCCTAGTACCTCCCTCACAGCAGTGTGAGAATTAAATGAATAAGGCATGTAGAACAGTGGCTGGCACATAAGTTCTCCATGTTAGATACCTAAGATAAGACCCTTTCAAGCAATTAAACTATATCCTATACTATTGTATTATAGTAGGATATATTACATATCGCCCTAAACTGTTAGGTATATAGGAAGTACCCAAAAGCTACTTAAATTTGATTAAACTGGACAAAATAATTCACTTTATGGTTTTTTTTTTTTTTTTGGCAATACAGGGGATTGAGCCCAGGGCCTTGCACATGACTATATCTCCAGTCCTTTTTATTTTTTATTTTGAGATAAGGTCTCACTAAATTTGGAATTTGGAATCCTGATACTTCTAGAGTGCTGGGATTACAGCTATGTGTCACCATGCCTGGATGCCATGTGATTCTTTAAAAAGTACCTCTCTTGGAACATTACAGATAATTCAATTATGAAATGTGCTTTGTGAAACAAGATAGTTTTAAATTTATCTATTTGTGGGTTTTTTGAGACAGGGTTTCTCTATGTAGCACAGGCTGGCCTTGAACTCACTATGTAACCCATGCTGGCCTCAAACTCATGGCAATCCTCCTCTGCCTCAGCCTCCAGAGTTCTGGGATTACAGCTGTGTGCCACCATGTATGGCCTTTTTTTTTAGCATTAGATAGTCTATGAAGTCTGAATCAGCAGGTTTTTTAGATCGGGAAGAAAATAGAGATATCTGTGATTAGTTCCTAGGTTCTCAAGGCGGAGTGTACAATACCAATGGATATATCTGGTCGGGGGATACTAGGCTGTATGAGAAAATATGACATTCTGGAAGCTATTTTATGCTTAGTTTTCAGACTTCATAAGGATGCATTCCAAAAAAGTTATTCTTTTTGCTGTTGGAATTGAATAAGGATCACTGCTAATTAATTTCCTCATCTTTTTTTTCCCCCCTGTCCTGTCACTGAGCATTGAACCCAGTACCTTGGTGGTGGGCTACATCTCCGCTCTTTTTATATTTTTTTTATTTTGAGACAGCATCTTGCTTGGTCACTAAACTGAGCTCAAACTGTGATCCCCCTGCCTCAGCCTCTCAGAGTGCTGGGATGACAACAGGCGTGTGCCTTGTTTTTAATCCTCCCATCTTTTAGTCAGGAACCAAAGATAGAGATGTGACCTTCCAGGGTTACCTTAATCCCCCAGCACCAGCCTGCCTTTGGCCCATTCTAATCCTGAGCATAGCCAGGGATCTTAGGGTAGTCCTCTTCTGATTCAAGTACAGTACAGTAGGCAGACTAAATTGCTTGTAAAATATTTTGAATAGCTCTTTTGAAGACTGCTCTGAATCATATGTTTCACTAGCTAACTAGTTTTTCAGGACTCCACTCACTTTCTACACATTTATTAGGGTGCAATTATAGTTGTCTTTCATTGAGGTAAAAGCACAGTGAAATGACCTAAACACCTATTTATAATTGAAGAATAGTAGCTAATTTAAACTGAGCATTTAGTTTGTATAAAGCCCTATGCTAAATAAATTATGTATATTCGTTTTGTGAAGCCTAAAGCTTATTTTTTAAAACTTTGTTTTTTTGGAGACAGGGTACCACTATGTAGATCAGGCTGACCTTGAACTGACTGTGTAGCCTAAGCTGGCCTTGAACTCATGGAGATCATCCTGGCTTAGCCTCCAAGTACTGGGAGTACAGGTGTGCACCACCACACCTGGCCAAAACCTTATAAATATGTATATAAAGTTTACTTAATTCTCACAAATCTGTGATTATTCCCACTTGTTGAGGAAGAGTTTGAGGTTCAGGAGGAAAAATAATTTCCTAAGATATAACTGAATAGTGTTAAGAAAGATAATTGAGTTCAGGTCTTTTCTAAGTCCAAAAGGAAGACTCTTAGATACTACCACACAAACAGCTCTTAATTTTGGATGAGATGTTACACTGGAAAAGGAGGTATAGTAAACAGCATGTACTTAATTTAGTGGCTTTGTGGGAATGTGCAATCCTGATGTGGATGAAAGTTTGTGTAGTGTTTGGTTGGCATAATGATTGGTATTTAATGAACAGGGGCCTGGAATGTTAGATACCCTGCATGTGCAGAGCAATCCGTAGTGGTCTAGTATCTAAATTTGATTTATATGAAAATATTGGTTGCACAGTTTTAGTATATACTGAAACTTGCTGTAATATAATAAATCAAAGCAAGTTTGCACCCTTTTTGGGGAGGCATTTTTCCAAGGAATGTTCATCATTGTGTTAGCTTTTGTCTTTATGACTAAATACTTAAAAACACAACTTAGATGTAGAAAGACTTACTTTGGCTTACGGTTTCAGATATTTCAATCCATGGTCATTTGGTTCCATTGGTTTTAGACCAAGGTGAAACAAAAATATCATGGAAAAGAAAAGCTCCTTACCTCACGGCAGCTAGGAGGTAAAGAAAGAGGGAAAGAGCCAGAGAGAAAGGGGCTGGGGACCAGATAGAGTTCCAATGTCATGTCTCCATGGTCTGCCCCCTTCATCTAGGTCCTGTCTCCTGTTTCTGTCACCTCCCAATAATGCCATCAAATTACAATTGCATGATCTGATTGCCTTTGCAAGTCCCATTCTCTGAATACATGATCTTTTGGGGAACATTTTAAATCTGAGCTGTAACAACCAACTTGGAAAACTGTCTCCAGGGGCATTGTTAGCATCTCCATGAGGAATAAGTATAATACCCTTGAATTGTTTTGCCTTTGTACCTGGTAATTTTATGTATAGGCGAAAGTAAAGACTAGTGTTAAAATACTGATGTGTTAAGAACATCTTGGTGAATACCTGGGTGCATTGAACTTCCCTACTTTCTAGTATGTCTGTGCAGGACCTTGCAGACCTCCTCACAGTCAGCAATGAAAGCGTTGATGTCTGTTGCTTGGGGTAGGAGTTTCCAGGACCCTTCTCCAGCTTTATGGATTGTGCCAGTGCCTCTCCCCACATTTGTATTGGTGTGATTATCCTCTGGATTGAAAATCTCTATTCTAAAAGACCATCTAGCATAATAGTGGTGAAATAATTACATGAAGTTACGTTTTAGTCCTTTATGTTACAGTTAAGGCATATATTATAGGGTGCCTGCTAACCAAAGTGTGTCTCTAACAGGTCATGTTATTAATGAATTTCATTTTAAAGTAGAAAATAAGTGTTTTAAGCCGAATCAGTGAATAAAGGTGGGTGTTGAGTTTGAGAATTCAGAACTAGTGAGTAAATCAGTGAGGCTCTACTGTTTTATTCTTTATCCTTTTTACTTCAAAAGTATTGTTGCTGTTGTGAATTAATGATATAGATAGCATCATCTCAGTAGTAGAAATGAAGGCATCAGTCATTTATGTTTACTTTGGAATAGTATTATAAATGCTGTTGATTCGGGTGGTTCTTGTTTCAGCTAGGAATCATGATAAAATGTTTTAACTAATTTTTTATGCATGGTGATC